CTTTTTATACTTGACTCAATGGTACCAGACTTAGCCTCAACTTTGTTAAGGTGGTAGAGGTTGGAGGTTCGAGTCTGGGGAGGTTCCAAAAGACCCCCGTGAGGGTGGGGTGAGGAATAACCACTGTACCACCAGTGGGAAAGCCGGCAATCATGTGGTGACATGTGTGTTGTCCAGCGCCTGGGAAAAGACCCTGGAGAGGCAGTGGTGACCCAGGAGGGCTGTTACATAAAAGGCGCCTTTTATGTAACAGCCCTCCTTTTTATACATGAAGGCACCTCTTCTCTTCCCTCATCTAACCAATGTGGGACTTAGAAACAACAACCTTCCACCCCCCCTTTTTTTTTGTTCCTTCTACCTTCTCTCTTTTTTTAACACACACATAAAAAAAAAAATTATTTATGTATTATATCTTAACTAAATATTGCTTATGTGGTTTTAAATTTAAATTTTTAAATTCATAATTAAATACCTAATCATAATATTATTTCTAAATAACCTCAAATAATATAAATTCCTATTATTATCATTTTTTTCCTCAAAACCTAAATTCCACAATTTCTTTATTATATAAAAATCAGGATGTTACAAAAAGCATGGACTTTAAATTAAGTATACGTGAGCATTGTTTTGTACATGGTGGATGTTGTGTTGTGAAAGGCATGGACTTTCAGTTAAACATACATTAGCATTGTCTTGTACATAATAGATGTCATTTTGTACATGGTCTACCTAATTTGTCTATTTTATTGAGCTTAGACTACGAAAATACTATAAAGGCATGGACTTTTAATTGAACATATGTGAGCATTGTTTTACACATAGTAGATGTTGTGTTGTGCATAATTCACCTAGCTTGTCCATTTTGTTGAACCTAGTGTTACGCCTAGACTAAAGTTTCTAGGAAACATTGAAAACCTATATAATAAAAAAAGATGGTTTGTAAAAAGGGTTCAGGAGTATATTGTATGTGGGAAATGTGTCAGGCACCTCATGACATTTATTCATAAAAATGGTTACCCTAAGTTGAATGCATAAATTAATCAGCCTTTTAATAATATCTTAATTACCCTTAATAATTATATAAGAAAAGGAAACAAATAAAAATGAAAACAAAAAATTTATTTACAAAGGAGGGTTTAATCTACCATCAAAGTCTAGGACTTACACATCCTGTGATGGGGAACAAAGTCTACATAGTTTGAAATACTATTGTTTTTATTTTTTAAATTCTTTTAATTAATTTCTTTATTGAAAGGATTGATATTTTGGGTTATATTATTATACTTATTTTTTTAAATAACAATTTGTTCTAAGGAAGTAATTTTAGGTAAGAGAAAAATAATTAGTATTGAAACCTATGATGATTTAGTATCACTTATAGTCTGCTGATGAACACTCTAAGTGTACACAGTAATTTAATATCACTCATGATAAACCCTAGAGGAATAAAAGAAATTTTGAAGAATAATTTTCTATAAAATATTTCAATGAAAAAATTTTGATAGACAATTTTAAAGACCCAAGATGACTTAGTATCACTCATGACATAATCCAAAATATGTCAACAAATTTGTTATTTTTACCCATAACTTAATGTCATTCATGGCATCTCATTTGATATTTTTTCAGGGACCCACAGTGATTTAACATCACTTATAATATAACCTAAAATATGCCAACAATTTTATTATTTTTACTTGTGATGACTTAATGTCATTCACGATATTTCATTTAATGCTTTTATAAATCCATGGTAATTTCATATCACTCGTGAAAGCCTGATAAACAATAATGTTTTGTTTTATAAAATAAAATAAAGGAAATTGAGGAAGATCAACCATAGATCCATCAATAAGTTTTGAGCATAATTATTTGTTGGCCAGTCAAATATAGGGATGCCTCTGACTGTCATGAAAAAATGCTAAGAAGAACGTGAAAAGAAGGAAGGAAAAAAATAAAAAGGAAAGTAAGTGGCAAGAATGTTATCATCGTTGGCTAAGAAATTGAATCATTGAAAGAAAAAAGAAGAAAGGAAAAAAAATGCAAAAGAGAAGGGAAACAAGAAATGGAAAAAATAAACACAAGCACAAGCATTATATCACAAAATGAAAGGAGACAGATAAAAAAATATCATCCCACAATTTGTCAAACTTGGATGGCAATTTCAGGGGTGGCTTCGCATTAGGTGAGAGGCAAGCAAAAGTGAGATTTTATCACCCTTCCCTTCGTAGCTTACGATAGCTCTTTTTTCTTTTTTTTAAAATGTAAGGCTACGGTTAAAGTCGTACAAAAAAACCAAAATCAGGTTAAGTCAGAAGCCATAAGGCTCTTACAATCATTAGACAGTCTATCAAATAACATCATGTCAAAATGTTCTTCGGGAGTCTTATGGGCCAGATACGGTAACTCTTTTTATTTCACACATGCTCTTTCACACTTTTTTTATTCACGCATCTTTTCTTATCTTAATGTTCTTGTCTCTCATGCACCTTTTTCTTCAATTTTTCTCTCCCTTTATGGCCTCCAATTCATGCCTCCTCCCCAAAAATTTTTCCTCCCTTCTCCCCTTCCTTCCTATCTCTTTTATAAACACCAATTAAGTTTTTTTTCTCTCAAAGACAAAATCAAGCATGTCAAGGCAAATTTTAGTTTAACTTTTCTTAATTATTTTACATTCAAATTATCACATTTAATTTGATAGAATCATAATTGTAGGGATTTGGAGGCCAAAAAAAGGAAAAAAAATTCTTTTTAAATTATGAAGATATTATTTTATTTTAATTTTTTTATAAAATCTTATTTTTTATTTTATTTATTTAATTTACTCAATTCTATTGGGATTTTCATTTATTTTTAGTTTACATCTAAAGGCCTGAAAAAAATACAATGTTCACACCTAGGCTACTGAAATATTGGAAAGACATGAATTTTTAGTTAAATATACATGAGCATTGTCTTGTACATAATAAATATTGTGTTGTGCATAATTTCGTGCAAGTTTTCTAAATTAAAATCAAACAAAGGGTAAAAATATATTTTTGATCTCAAGAAAAACCTGTAGTATAATATCAAACTTTTTCAAACTCAAAGTACAATGATGTATTTTTTAAGACCCTTAGTGTAATTTCTCCTTTTATAAATCAGAGTCTTTTATTAATCACGTACCAAACTATCAAAGGTTAGAAATAGGGTAAATCACATGGTCTCCTAGCATATACACAGACTTGAATTCAATAAGTAGTCATATTTTATTCACTTAATGAGTGTTTTAATTATAATCGTTGAATTTTATTAATATTTGAAAACTGTTAAAATACATTTTTTAAAAAAATTCAAAATAATCATTTTGATAAAAAAACTCCTCACACATGTTGCCCAAAAAAAAAAAGAAATTTGATACTTAATAAATATTATATAATAAAATCGCTCAAAATCATTTAATTAAATTAAATAATTATTATTATATTATATAAGATACTCGAGGGAGTAAATTTATGTCACTCAATAAATTATAGCACTATAATCGTAAGTTTGGTAATAGAACTCACCAAAATTTTCCCATCCGACATTCATGCGTTATTCCGCCTTCAGATTCCCCCTGCAATCCCAAGGCTTTGAGAATTGGGCAATGGAAAGCCCAAATCTCCTTAATTGGCCCAATTTAACAGCGCGCGGACAAAATATGGAAACCACACGGGGGAAAGCAACGAAGCTTTGTAATAAAATGATAAATCATTTTATCAAAAAAAAAAAAGACAATAAAATTTTTATAAAATATATAAATGATAATTTAATCGTTTAAAATATTATAATTTTTTTAAAATTTTTAGAGATTTTTTTATTATTAATAAATTTATATAAATTATTAAATTATTCTTATTGAAAATAAATTATTCACAAGTTTTATTTAAATATTCACAATCTTCATTCTTATATGAGCAATAATGCAACAAAAAATCATAATTTTTTATATTAATTTTTTATTTACTTTTGTATTGCTATGTATATAAGAAAGAAGGTTGTGAATATTTAAATAAAACTTGTGAATTATTTATTTTTACCAAGAACAATTTGATAATTTATATAAATTCATCAATCATAAAAAAGTTCTTAAAAATTTCAGAAAAATTATTATATTTCAAGAGATCAATTATTATTTACACATTTTAAAGAAATTTTATTGTTATTTTTTCAAAGAAAAAAGACAAATCATCAAAAATATCAAATTTTTTTCCAACGACAATGTCATATATTTGGTACAAATATATATGACAAGGTATATAATACTCCTTCCGTTAAAAAATATAAGACATTTTTTAAAGAGTTAAATATTAAAAAATATAAAATATTTTTATTATTTTAAGGTGTAATCATTATCTTTTTTTTAAATGCCCCTATTGATGATGACTTTATATTTATTTTAAGATATTTAATAGGAGTAATATGAAAAGATAGAGTTAGTTTAAAAGTAAATAATTACTTTATTGAAGGGTGAGATTCTATTAAAAATATTTTATATTTTTAAATAGAGAGAATATATTTTTTATATAGCTATCTCCCTGAGTCAAATTTAAATATTATCATGTTTAATCGTGAGTATCTCTAAAAAAACGATTTTTACATGATATTTTTGTTTGTCTTCTCTTTCAACATAAATCATAATTTATTTTCCAGCTAAAAATGTAATGATAAAACAAAACAAAACAAAATAATTAAAAATAAATTAAATACAAGAAATAATTTCGTCCGGAGAGCAATTTGACAGCCCCAAACGTGAGCGGCACGGAGAGAGGATATCGGTTTTTGGGGGAGAAGTTTTTAATTTACAAGTCTAAGCTGGCCAAAAAAAAAAAAAATCAAGTGCCAAGGCTAAGCGGATGGAAATTGGTATTGTTAGTTCGTAGAAACAACATCTTAGAAAAAGGATAAATTTTAAAAATTACCGAAGAAAGACGGCGATTTGTTATTATTATGAAAATTGTTATTATTATGAAAAATCTCCTCGCTGCTGTTGGCTTCTCAATTCTCCCTCTCCGTCTTTCTCTCTCTTCCCATCAGTTTCCGGGCTCTGTCCATCTCTCAGCTATTGTTGTGTAGAATTATTAAAATCTCTTCCTATCTGATCGAGCACAGGCTTCTCAATCTCGTCTTTTCATCCTGATTCTTCCAGAATTTGTGATACCCTTCGCATTCTGTTTTCTTGGGTCAATGCGCTCCTGTTCTCTGCAAGTTAGGGCTTCAATCCGTGGCCTGGGCTGATTGATTTGCGTTATGTGCGATGTAGAATGTAGGAGAAGACGGTGTGATATTCTGAATAAAGATTTCATCCTCATTGCCGGAGGATGTTTAAATTTTTATAAACTCGGTCCATTTTGATTTTCTCTTATTCTGGATTTACGCCATAATTCAATTCAATTTACAGCTCCTTGGATGACTAGATTGGGAAATCTGATAGAATTTTGATGGACTTTCTAAGAAAGCAAGGAATTTTGACTGCATAATCCATTAATTCGGCGTATCAGTGGACAATGAGAGTGAGAGTTGCTCTACATGAGGTTGTGTACAATTAGGTGTTGATTTCGGGACGAATTTGAGCAGAAAATCCCCTTACATTTGTTGGCTGTGGGGACGGTGCATTGAAGATCATTTCATCATGGATCATTTGGTTGGTGGGAAGTTTAAACTGGGAAGGAAAATTGGAAGTGGCTCTTTTGGGGAGCTTTATTTAGGTATGAATATTTCATTTTTGTTCACTTGTAATTTATTTTGGTGTTCTTATTCAGCTTTAAATATATTCCAGGAGTAAATGTGCAAAATGGAGAGGAGGTGGCCGTTAAGCTGGTACGCCAAGTTTTACCTTTTATGTGATTATATGGGGAAAAATGCTTCAATAGTGGAGTCTGTTATGAATTTCTAGGGATTGATTACTAGTTTTCTGTTTGTGAGTGTATGTTGACTATCTTGAATATGCGCACATATGATCAAGATCACCATTATCTTACTTTGTTGAACCTCGCATTTATTTTTAGTCTGCATGTTACCATGTCCGGTGGATATCTGTTGTGCTATATTTAGATGCTGTAAACATCGGCGTTATGGTTAGTAAAGGGCATCCTCATTTTTCAATCGTTGCATTTGAAGTCCTCTTGAAATATTACACGAAATATGGAGATATGGTTCATTTTTATATTTATAAACAAATGAAATCTCTCTCTCTCTCTCTCTATTAGTTGGATTGCAGGGAATTTTTATAAGAAATGAGTGAGATCTCAATAAAGATGGAAGTAAAATGCAAAATGCTACATTGCATCTTCTTTTTATCTTGGTTACAGTGTTTGTCCCATTTTCCTTTTGCTGTTTTACAATAGAAGAAAGTTCTTATATCTGTTCTTAGCATCAGTATATCCATGCGTCATGAATTGATCTTCTGTTAGTTCTTGATTGCATCTTTCTCCTTCAAAAAATTCCAGGAACCTGTGAAGACCAGGCATCCTCAACTTTTCTATGAGTCAAAATTATATATGGTTCTTCAAGGAGGAAGTAAGTCTGGAACTCTGTACCCTTTAAAGTGTTAGAAGATACAAGTTTGAAGGGAATCAATTTTCAGTATTCTATATGTTGAAAACAATTTCTTCTAAACAAATTTTTTTCTTCTTAATTCTGGAGTTTAATCTGATTGATGTGTTGAATCTTATGTTAATGAAATCAGATTCAGAATCATTTGTATAAACCTTGCCTTTGAAGAAAAATAAAGGAGGACAATTTCTGTAATCAAATAGGATTTTTCCTTTCAATAATCCAGTATTGTTTTCCTTAATGAAGCGGGGATTCCCCACCTCAAATGGTTTGGAGTCGAGGGAGACTATAATGTCATGGTTATTGACCTTCTTGGACCAAGTCTGGAAGATTTGTTCAACTATTGCAATCGGAAATTCACATTGAAGACTGTGTTAATGCTTGCTGATCAATTAGTAAGTGTAGTTGGCAATTGTGCACCTAGTGCTCTTACATAGTAACCCCATCATTTAAATTTTACTTTATATTGTTGTTTATTTTCAGATTAACAGAGTTGAATATATGCACTCAAGAGGTTTTCTTCACCGTGATTTAAAGCCAGACAATTTTCTTATGGGCCTAGGACGTAAAGCAAACCAGGCATGTTATTTTTGTGAAGATGCTTGCTTGTTCTTCCTTTCCTTTTTCTTTGCTGCTCACACTTTACAAAAGATTGTGATTGTTGCTATGCTGATTTATGGAATATGATTGGAAAGGAATCACACATTATAGTAATTTACATTTGATGAATGCATATGATCGGTTGGCTGGAATTAGAATTTTTTAATTATTGTATACTCTAATTGGTAGAAGTTATATTTCGTCTGCTTTTTGCTTGTTTCTTTTTCCTTCTTTTTTTTTTCCTTGGATTTATTCTTGATTTACCAACAAAATAAAATTACTAGAGGAGGATCTGATGTTAGAATTGTGGGGAAGGGATATTCCTTTGTCTCCATAGAGTTGAAAACAAGCCTGGAAGGTATAATCCTTCAAAAATACATCCTACTCAACCAAATTATGGGATTAAAACCTTGTGAAAGACTGCTTTAGCCTGCTTGTTGGTCATTGTAAATAGTTTCTTTCTTAGCTAATGTATTTCTTATCATTCATGTCTTTTAGATGTTCTAGGAGAGTCTTCTTTAATATTTTTCTTCCTTTTATTCTGTTTCAATGTAATTTTCTTTTGTAATACAACGAAAACTAAAATGAAATCAAATTGATTGTTAGATTCTGATAAGGAAATTTAGATAAACACACAAATGTTAGATGTTTTAACTATCTTGGAATCTTGCCGTGTATCTAATTTCAGGTGTACATAATTGACTATGGCCTTGCAAAAAAGTATAGGGATCTTCAGACTCATAAGCACATACCATACAGGTAAATTTTGCCTTGCTTATTAGAGGGTATTAAGGTGTACTCTTTGTATTTGAGTGAACATGTGTGTGTCTGCATGTGAATGTATGCATATATGTGTCTCCCCAAGTCCAGGCAAATTGTTGGCTAAGAAAAAAGTTTAGGTAACTGATTGGGAGAATCACATCTAAAGCCCACCTAAGGAACATATTTACACTACAGGCCCAATGGATTCTAAAATTCCTCTACAAGCCCAAAGGCCTCGAGTGCAATTATTTTTTAAGGTGAAAAAACTGAACTGCCTTGCCCTTAAATAAACTCACATGGACTCATGTAAACAAATGGACCTTTTTTTTTTTAAATAATTGAACTTTTCTTGTTATTTACGGATCATTTGTTGTTAATTAATTTTCTTTGATTAACTTGTAATTTTTATTCTTCTCAAGTAAAAGTGTAAAACCACATGAATTTTTGTAAACAAACAAACTTCGTGTTATAAATAATTAGACTTTTCTTGTTGTTTTACAAACCTTCTGTTGATAATTTTTTTCGATTAACTTGAAAATTTTCTTAGGTACAGGTGTAAACACATATAGAATATTGTGAATAAACGGACTTTTAAATAATTGGGATTTTTCTTGTTATTTACGAACTTTCTATTATTAATTTTATTTGGTTGACTTGTACATTTTCTCAAGTACAAGTGTAAACTCATATGGACTCTTAAGAATAAATGAACTTCTTGTTGTAAATAATTGAACTTTTCTTGTTATTTACAGACCTTCTATTGTTAATTTTATTTGGTTAACTTGTAAATTTTCTAAATATATGTGTAAACCCGTATGAACTCTTGCGAATGTATGGACTTTTTGTTGTAACTAGTTGAGCTTTTCGTGTTTTTTGCAGACCTTTTGTTGTTAATTTTCTTTGCTTAATGTGCAACGCAAATATCCTTGCTTATTAAGGGTAGCTTAGTCTTTTCACCTTTGAAAATAATTGCACTTGAGGCTTTTGGGCCTGCAGAGGAATTTTAGAATTTATTGGGGCCTGCAGTGTAAATATGTTTCTTTGGCGGGCTTTACATGCAATTCCCACTAGCTAACTTTGTTAGTTTTAACTCATACCCAGTCGCATCATTTGAATTGGTCATTCTATCTTTTTTCATTGATTCTGGCACATAAGATGAATAATATCAAATAATCAACTCTATAATCATCAAATAAGCAAGCGTTGTGCACATTGTTTTTATGAAGTGTACACACATTTATGGTAAACCTCAAATGGTATAGGTTTCAAACTGTACACTTTAAAGACGATAGGGGAGCAAAATCAGATCCTAAGCCAACATCTAGTATTCAGCTGATATCACACCATGTCCTATTCTGATTTACTCCCTCTGGACCACAATATAGGGTGTTTTCTAGAAGCTCTACTTAGTCCAAAATATAGGGTCTTAGGTAGGTTTTATATACTTTTTCCAATTATACCCTTTATTATATTCTGCTCAAGTAATTAATGAGGGTTTTTGATCAAGTCAAATATTATATTTATTTTACTTGAAGGTGCAATTGGAAAGATGTGAAAATTTTTAGAAGATCAAGATTTTAACTTACTTTTTTTTGAGAAATGTAAATTAATTAACAATGACTTATATTATGGTTTGGGGGAAGTATAGCAGAAGAAGGAAATGTGGGAGCATGCTGGACAGCTCTGAACAGAAGAGCAAAAAGAGTGTTAAATTGGGACGTTCATGAAGGAAAAACTGTTTAAGAGTCTCCATGATTGCCACATCCACCATTATGCTTATTTTATTTTATTTTATTTTTTGCGGGACCAAATTATGCTCAGTGTTTAGAGTCAATTATATTGATAAATACTTAGTGTTTTGTGCCTTTTTATGTTCATTTGTGTCAGCAACGTACAGTTATGGTTAGTCTTTGCGTTATCATGTCAGTCAGTATGTTGGCTACGTTCTGGTTGTATAGATGGGGGTGGGCAGTACATTTGATGAAAGCTTTTGATAACATATTTGTGTTGTGTGGAGATTCTCAGACTTTAGGGTTGTTTTGAGTTAAGATTCTTGCTCAATAGGGCTCTTAAAGATTCTTTCTGACCTTAAACTCCCTACCCTTATATTGGCACTGGGCTTTCAATTCAAATCCTCCTTGATTGCTTTATTTTGAGTGTTTATTGCCCTCAAAATCTTTATCCTGGGACCATATTAGTATATCACACTTAACTATATTGTTCTTTCCCTTCAGTATTTTTGTTTTAGTTCAAAACCATGTTATGTATTCCCCCATAAAATTTGCCCTATAATTTTTTCCCTCTTCTTTGAAACTGTTGTTTTTATTGTGAAGGGAAAACAAGAACCTCACTGGCACAGCTCGCTATGCAAGTGTGAACACTCATCTCGGAATTGGTGAGTGATATCTTTTGCTGATTTTTGCCTTTTTCATTTTCATGACCAATGTTACAATACAACTGAATTGTTACTTCATTATGACTTACCTTTTCTGTTTTTCAAATCATTTTTACTTTAATGGAAGAACAAAGCAGAAGGGATGATCTGGAATCTCTTGGTTATGTTCTCATGTACTTCTTAAGAGGAAGGTTGGACTCATCTACCCCTCCTACTGGACCTTGGATTTACTTACACCATCTTACTATTTGCTTATTTAGTGCAAATTTTTTTTTCTTTAGTCTTCCTTGGCAGGGACTCAAGGCTGGCACAAAAAAACAAAAATATGATAAGATCAGTGAGAAGAAGGCATCAACCCCCATAGAGGTACCATGACTAGTTGGATCTGTGTCTGTTTGCTATAGACTTACTGAAGAAGTTTCATTTTCCTCTAGAATTAGAGTTTGAACTAGGTTGGATGTTGGCTAATTCCTGCATATTAAATTTTAAGCAAGTTAATTTAAAATCAAGTCAGATGGTAATTTGCTTTAAGGTTTAGGATAGAGGGAATTATCTACATTTTTGCCAATATCTTTAAAATGGGATTAGTTCAATTAGATATTTTATTTACATCATCAATTTGTCTGAACCTACATAAACTTTTCCTTAGAGGTTGCAAAGATAGGCCAAGCTTTGAGGGTCATCCAACTCATAAAATAATTTTTGCCTTTGCTTGTGAACGCTGGCACGCTTCATGGATCTTTTGCACTTGAACTAAGTTTACTGAGATCACCTGAATGATCTCTCTGGTTGATTCTTTTACTTTGATTGAGTTTTCATCCTATATTCCTTGCGTTTATTTGAGTATTACATGTACATTTTCCCCTCTTCTCTTGTCTCCTTTCTGAATTTTTATGATCCAGTTGCTATGTTGGTCATTTATGTGCATTTGTCAACAGGTTCTCTGTAAATCATACCCATCTGAGTTTGTATCTTACTTCCACTACTGCCGGTCATTGCGTTTTGAGGACAAGCCAGATTATTCATATTTAAAGAGACTTTTTCGAGACTTATTTATTCGAGAAGGTTTTTTTACACTGATATGTGATTCTAGTTTGGGTACTTCAGTTATTCTGCTGCAATATTTAGTGCGGTCTATATTGACTTTGTTACTGCAGGCTATCAGTTTGACTATGTTTTTGATTGGACTATATTAAAGTATCCACAGATTGGTTCTAGCTCTAGAGGACGGGTTGGTACTTTAATATGTCACTTGTATGATTTTTCTTTCTAATAGTCTCTTACAGTAGTTTGTTGCTCTATCAAGCATGCCAGTGGCAAAGCAGCTATGAATGCAGGAACATCCGTGCAAAAGCCAGAAAAGATGTCAGGTCTGCTCTGAGTCAAATTGACCTTGATATTGTTATCCTACTACATCTATTGAGTTCATTCATGAGTGTGGTGGAATTCTGAAAGTTATTTTTGGTTTGCGAAAAGAATGTAACCTGAAAGCATTAAACTGTCTTGTCTTTTTGTTCATCTCATTCACGAAAGTACTTTATTTCTTCTGAATTGTGAATTGCATAACTCTTGCTCCTGCAATTGCATCTTTCAGTTGGGAAAGATCCTAGAGAGAAATTTTCTGGCACTGTTGAAACGTTCTCCAGGAGAAACCCCACAAGTTCTAGTCCTCGAGATGATAAACAAAGGATTTTTGAGGATGTACAGCAACACAAGGATATGGTAATTTTTTTTATTTTCAAATAGAAAAGATGGATCTTCATTTGAAATTTTCCCATGAGAAGTTTTATTGACCTAAATATCTAGTTTGTATTGCTTGCGGAGCACGATGCGTGATAGTGCATTCCAGGTTTTTTATTGACATATTTTTACGTGGTTTGTTTGTGGTGTCATCAGCACCGTGAACAAGAGAAGGTACACAGTTCTGCTCGATATGGAAGCAGTTCAAGAAAAGCCCTCATCTCATCTAACAAGCCAAGTTCGTCAGCTGACCACAGTGATACTCGTACTGGTCGGCTGACTACAAGCAGTAGCCGCCCTTCGACCACACGTGCTCTGTATGAAAGCAAACAACCAAGCTTTACACGCAACACTTCTTCTAGAGGCAATCGTGATGATCCTCTTAGGAGCTTTGAGCTTCTCTCTATCAGGAAGTAAAAGTGCTTCCTTTCTGCCATATAAATTTTCTGAATTCTGGTGCACTTGAAATGCTATATCACTTTTTGAGAGATCTCAAGAATTGTGGAATCTATCATGTACATGGGTTGCTACTGAAGAAGTACGTGGTCACATTTACATTACTGCCTGATGAAATCATTTCACGACCAGAATGGTTTTCCGCCCCCAGGACTGTCTTCGCAAGATTTCTCAGCCACGGCAAAACGTTTGGAACATGTCAGAGTGAGAATTCGGGCAGGATTCTTTCTTCTGACTTTTCTACAAGAAGGAACTTTTCTTTTTTCTTTTTCTTTTTCTGGGTCATGTAGAAGATGAAACTTGAACTATAGCCAGTACTGGTTATTATATACGGCTCGCTCACCAGTAGGAGCTGCTCTGCATGCGATTATGTGACTCTGCTTGAATGGATTTTCCTGACCATCAAGTTTTGGTCGAACTAAATTTAATGCCATCGATTTGAATCCTCTGCTCATCTCTACTCATTTCAAAGAGTGTTTCTTGTTCATCTTTTGATCAAATTTAACTGTTTAGATTTAAATTTAAATATTTAAAATTTCAAATATGTTATTTTTCAATATAAAACATTATTTTGGAATAAAAAAAATATCACAATTGCCAATGATTCATATAAATGTAAATATTTTCTATTCACCCCAAAGATGGGCAGAAAATTAACATCATCAGTAAAATTGACTGGTTGTAATGTTTCTTTTGGGTGAATACAGAAAAGTATAAGTATTATTCTTTTTGTTCAAAGTGGAGTAATTCATTTTTGGAACACGTTTCTCAAAGCAATGATTGATAGAACTATTGACGGATCATAGAAACTTGAGCGTTGCTTGGAGTAGGAGAAGCAGCATGTCTCATACAACTACAAGCCAATTGTTATGAAGTTACCAATAAAAGCGGGGAAATACAGCATTGAGAGTCATTACCAATTACCGAGGCACAAATTTACATACTAGAACATTATTCTACAATTTCATTTTGTTTAGTAGATACAAACGAGAAGCGCTATTTATTTAGCCAGCCGTAAAACAATCGAGTCTCCACTTGCCTTCACAAAATTCATCAGCTGGTTAGTTTTGGCAAGTAGAGCTACTCTTTCAATCGCCTATCGCACTAACATCCATCTACTACTTTACAATAATTTCATTCAGAAGAACAGATTCCTTAATGAAAAAGAGTAATTTCAGGTGGAATATACACTGAACTCATCAAATCCCAAAGGACAAATCAAGTCCAAGGATTCTTGCAGACAACATTGCGTTTGAAAACCAAGTGAACTGAAGACGGAAAATTATGGGTTTCTTAGAGCTGCCAAACGTTTCTCTAGATCATCAACGCCCGAGCTGAAACATAAGATTTCCAAGGTCAAGCAAATTATTTGTTGATTCACAAGCAAAAGAGGTTCAATTATATCAATGTAAAAGAAAAAATTGTAGGAAATGATGCTATTCACAAACAATAAATAGTGCTGCTAATATAGGATTTCACATAGATGTACAAGGCCTACTCTAGTCTGTACTAGTAAATAAGGAGCAACCGTAAATTCTTAACGACTTTGACAACATGCGTAGAATCTCAATCTCTTTAACCCAGTAATAATGACTTCAATAAATATTAGTTATATGGTACATACCTGCTAGCATTTTCAGCACTCTTCGTTGCAATTCTTCCTTTAGGAGCCGCTGACAACTGCCGTAAAGTTAAAAACAACCCAATCAGTTTGGGCACAGTAACAAAGTGAAAGCGACAGAAGGTGAGTCATGAAATTTATAACAATTGATTCCAACCTGCGAGGCCACATCCACGCCAATTTCATCAAGCACCTGCCAAAATTGAGGAGGCGAGCAGAATTGCCATCAGTTTCCTTTTTAGTAAAGTCATTGTTACCCCTTAAAGAAAATTAAAATCTTAAACTTGGTGCCCAGCCTGACTCTACCCAACAACCATTACCGCTAAACATTTTGAAACTAAACCAGAAACAATTCATACTAATTTCAGAAATGAAATTGGCATTTCAAGTCCTGAAGATAAAGACACGACGCAGATATGCCATGCCAATTTCTATTTCATTTTTTCCCCCCTCAATTTTGCGGGGAGCACAAGGATGAGAGAAAACGAGTGTGTTTTCTTTCTTCATGTGAGAGTGAGACAAATTGGCCATCTCAAGTGTACATAACATGAACCTTTTAATGATTAGGGAAGTTATTCCAGTAAAAGGCCTTGCAGAAGTTACAGAATATAATAGAGAATAACATGTAATGAAAGAAAATGCTTGAAGGAAGGTACCTGATTTGTCAGGTCTTCAGTCTCCTCTTCAGCTTCATCATCATCCAATGCATCATCTATGGCATCTGACATCATTTCAGTCTGCATGATAAACCATTAAGGTCCATAAGCCAAGAGAAATGAAAAAAATGATTTTCCATGTTTTCCTCCTCGCATGTGAATCTACTGAAGAAGAGTCATCTTACAGTCATATCCATCTGTGCCGATTGTTTCTGGAAGTCCCGCATAACTTTTGCTTGCTTTGCAGGTTCCATTTGCTGCAAAAGAATATTCTAGTTTTAGCATGGGAAGTGAAAAGCAATCCAAAAGGTACTTTATGGACTTTGATGTCGATGTTCCACTTTGGAAGAACAGCTTCTATCATCACTGCTGTCCAGATGCAGCCTGTTGCCTTTAATTTTCTCCTCAAAATTGGACAGCTCAAAGTGTCCATTTTCTTTGTCCTACTTCTTTCCTGTGCGTGTGCAACTGATTGGAAGGCTGCGGAGGAACACTATCTTCCACTATGTATGGGATGACAAAAAGAAAGCACGATCCCTACATTCATATTCTGATCATCCTATCCTACTCTATGAAAACTCACATCCTGTGCGACAACTCCAAGCTTACCCTGACCAGCTCAAATGTAGCACAGAATTTTCATATCACTCTTTTGATAAATAACAAAATGCATTCGTCCGCTTCATTGAAATTGCATTGCAACTCACAAATCACAAAAAGCTTTCTTCAATTCATTTTTAGGAGGGATGATAAAAACAAACAAAAAGCAATGCACAATGACCCAATATAAAGGAGTAGGAGCAATTACATACACAGACATGCCATGATATTCAAATATAATTGAAAATGCTACCTTGTTCATGGCTGCCATTGCCTTATTAGCACCTTTCATGCCAACAGCAACAGAAGACTGGGCATGCATCGCCTGCAGAGAATTGTTAACATAGCTGAGAGCACAGAACATCTCCTGCTGCTTGTTATATCACAAAAAACAGGATTCAACAATGTACCTGTGTGTGAGTTGCTATGCCTCTCATCTGAGCTCGACTACCTTGAAGATTAGCAATTTGTTGCCTAAGCCTAACCAATTGGCGAGCTAGAACTTTAGTTGCTGCCTGCAAATTGCATGGGCAAATGAAACATAAATGAAGCACATCACCAATAGATCAAGATGGCGATATCTTAAGTTAATCTGCAGAAAATCAGAAAGGGACAAAATTATTGATAATGCTGATCATACCTCGTTTCCAGTCTTGGCAGTTCTCTTTATTTCAGCAAGAAGCTTTTTTTCCTAACAATGTAATAGCGTTGTTAGCTGTGACAACAAAAGTCCATAAACAGGATCATCATTCGCAATAAGTTCGACAGTTTGACGTACTTCCAATTGCAATGCTCCAATTTCCTTCTCGATGCCTGACGTATATAGAAGGCCAAGAAAAAATGTTAACATAAGGGCGAACCAACGCTTGTTAATGTAATATGAAACTGAAAATTTACCTCTAGTAGCGTGTGCCATTTCTCGCTTACTCTCCCTAAGAGCCTCTGGATAAAATCAAAGACGAACAAGTGACATAAGAGCATAGTTTTTCACTAAGATTTAACACGAGATATCAGTTTTGGCCGCGCCGGGGTCAGAAAAGAAATGAATTATAATTATATGCTATCAAAAAAGTATCTGAAGATCTAACATCAAAGTGAACGACCAACCAAAAAACCTATTCAAATAAAGAAAACAAAAGAAGAACAAAAAGTAGAAGATAGTGATAATCGAGCAATGCTAAGTTGATTTGCTCAAGGGATGAATACGAACAAAACAAAAGGAGAACCAAAGATCGGACACAAACCTTTAGCCGTGGGTTTCTTGGTGAATATGTTCATGGCGCCAAACAGAATGGTCAATTCCGGAGCTCCTCGGAGTCTTCGTCAATGGTAATTCCAAATATTTAGAGAGAAGCTCCAGAGAACCAGAAGCCGAAGGTGGGAGAGAAGGATCCTGGAACTCACGTCGCAGTATTTTTATCTCTCTTCCTTCCGCGTCTGTTATATTAGGCTGGGACTTGGGTTGGTCATCCAATATCCAATTTATTAGGTACTTAGGTGGCCTTTTTTACAGTTTTCACTTTTCAGTGATGCCCTTTTGTCCTTTTGGCTGAGGTGATGGATGGCCCTTTAAGATTTTGCGAATCCCAAATGGCCACTCAAACATCATGTTTGTTTTCTAAAGCTCACAGCCGAAGATTATTCATCTGATTAGTCCCTACAAAGACAAAAATCCTACAAGAACATTTGGTTTAACTAGTGAAAAAAAAATTAAATTAGTGTAAGATTACACAGTATACATTTCAATCATTCTATTGCAATGAACTACAATGCATCTTAAATGAAGATGCACATCTAACTTGATGATTGAATGTGACTTGTTCAAGACAACCCTAAATGAGTGTTTGAATTAGGCCATGCTTTTTACTGTGAGGCTTGATCGGTCCAACACATTCCTGTGTCATGGGGCATTTCAATTCATCATTGGCATGAGAATGAATTGATGTTAAGAAAGGGCTATAACATTTGTGTGCCCATGTACACAAGGAATCAATTGGAAAGGCATATCCAAAATACTTATGAAGTTGTAATAACAATCTCACTTACAATTGGAATCCGGATTAGTCTAATGAGTGGTGGTAACGCTTACAAAATTTTTACGATGCTTGATGATGGAATTAAAGAAAAATGAATTAACAGCTTGAGTTTTTATAAATTTGATATTGTGTATGTATTGATATAATATATATTAATTTCATGCTAAAAATCCCTAATTGACAACAAACTAGATACAGTTAATTAAACTGTAACAGTAAGAATCGTTTTTCTCATTTATCCTGAAACCTGAAAGAATTTTTAATGAATCCCGCTTCGCTCTATCACCCAAAAAAATAAAAAATAAAAATCCCACTGTCACCTTTAAACATGAGGAGTCCAATTTTGATGCTCGTTCAGTGAGATATGGATAGATTATCTAAATTTATTTTGAGCGGTCAAAATTTAAAATTTTATATCTATAATTTTTATTTACTAGTTTTTTTAAGGATCAAATAGCAATTTGACCTAGCTTGTGAATATTATAGATAAAGAAAGAAGTCCTATATCTAAAACATAAATTAAAAATATATAAAGCTTATTTGGTGTGATACATTCTAAGTTTATATATTCTTAACCTACTTCTCTTAATCTTATTTATAAATTATGTTTACTAATCTCATTAATATCAATATAACAAAAGTATAAAAAATAAAAGTAAGTAAAATTTTAAATATAATATTTAGGTAAAAAATACACAAACCATATAATATGATTTTTTCTGTCCCTTTCTCTTTTATTTTTTAAGGATAATTTAAAAATTTTAACTTAAAATAAAACAATCATATCAACTAATAACTTAAAAATAGATTAAAATTATGCTTTTAAAAGGTGTCTAATATACAAAATCGAGGGAGTATCTTATATCCCCTGGATATAGGATTTTGATTTTTTTTGTAATATTAATGTAATGCATCAGATATGTAAATACTTGAGCGATCTTAGAGCATGTTTCGATGTCCATTTGGAATCAATTCCATGACCAAAATCATAGTTTTACTAAAACTTATCCAAATATTTTTAATTTTTCAAAACTTTATTTGACTTGTGATACTTCATTTTGGAAAAGTTTTTTTTTCTCTATTTGAAAATCAATTCTCATTTCTCAACATTTGAGCATTTTTCCATTTCCTTGCCTCGGTAGTTGATTTTAAAAAATTATTTAAATATCTTCAATTATCAAAATCAATTTTAAAAAATATTATCCAAACATCATAGCATTTTGTTAATCAATTTTTTCTATGATCAATTTTTTTTAATTGAAATCCAAGCTTACCCTTACAATTATACATGTTTGTTACCATTATTCAAACTAAACTCCAAATGGTTTGAATGTTGCAAACTTTCTGGCCCAAAATGCTACAATTACTAAACATGTTAATCTTTATCTTTGCCCAAAAAACTAAGCATATTAATCTTTAGGGCTGCGCAAAAGTCCTTTGATCCAACATAATTTGACTCGAGATGGTCTTATCATGTTCGATTTGTATAAACACAAGTCTTTCAAGACCTAAAAAGCTAAAAAAAATCAAATTACTTTTTCAGGTTAGACTGAATAAGATATTAGGTATCTAAACCATGTGGTCCAATCTAGTCCTAGTAATTTATTTAACATAATTATAATTATTTTATTTTTGACAAATGCTTCAAGTATGATTGACGCTAAAGGGATGATTGCATGAAAATTTATTAAATTTGTTTTTAAATTGTTATAATGTAATGTTGTTGAATTCTGTTGGATGTTGTTTTTATTGAAATTATAAATTTAAATTATTTAGACTGTAATTAAAATATTTTTTTTGTTGTTGAAAATTGGTATAGTTTTATTATGACTATAAGTATTTTTATTATCTTCATTGAGTTTATTAGGTTAAAATGAATTATTTCCTTTCATAGAGAAAAAAAATAGCCAAGTGAGTATTGGATTAACAGAATTAATCTTTCAATCTTATAGACCAAGTCTGATTTTATTACTTTTCAAGTTATCACTGGATAAGATTAGATTATAGATTTTCTAATTTAATCCTTTTAATAAAAGAGATCGAATTTAAGATTAGGTTGAAATTCAATGTGGTACCAATCCTTTATATAGCCATATTAATCTTTGTCGATGCTATTAAAATATTAAATAATCATTTTTGAATTTTGAAACTAAAAATAATAGCTGAATTGATAACATATTAATTATAAAACAAAACTAAAAAAAATCACAGGAGAATGATAAATAAATCCCTTTAAATAGAAAAATGATGATTTGATCCTACAAAATGTAATGATGATGTGAGGTTTTGGGGTACTTTTTTTAGATTAAACATTTCTATGAAATTACTTTAATATCTATCTACAACTAATTTTATATGGTTCACAATTTTGATATAAGTATTCACAAGTTTGGTACTATTAATGACTAAAATAATTTAGGAAACTATGACTTTTTATTAGCAATTTTCTTCATTAAACAAGTCCAACTAATTTTGTATTATTCATAAGCATGGTATGAATATTCATAAAATTGATTCCACCAATAAGTAAAATGATTTAAGAAATCACAACTTTCTATTAATAGATTCCAACCAAGTTTATATTATTTACAAGTTTGATATAAATATTTATAAGTTTTATTTCATCAATAACTAAAATGATTTAAAAAATCATAGCTTTTTAAATAAGGGAGAGACACTGAAGTAATTTCACATAAAAATTTAATTTTAAAGCAATCCCTTGGAGCCTCACTATTATTATTACATTTTATAAGACCTAATTGTTATTTTTCTATTTTAAAGAGATTTATTTGTTGCTCTCCCAAAATTCATTACATTATGTTGGGTTAAGATTTAATTTTACTTTTATATTTATTTTTAAGCAGTATTGAGCATCTTGAATTTTTAAGTGTGGCAATTTTTTTGCTAAACTATTTTTCGGATGAAACAAATTGCCCTAATGTTCATGTGCCGTTTTCTCTCGTTTTATGCTGACTTAGCATATAGTATGTAAGCTCTAACCCTCTTTGACTCTATGACACGGCATACATTATGCTTTTTTCCCCCTGTAATGGCGTGGCTCTCCAGTCTCCACCAATAAATTACACACACGCGACTTAAAGAAAACGGGGAGAGAAAGTGACAAGCGAAGAGTTAATTGTGGGCAACAAATCTATTTTAGATTGCAGTCTTCAGCAAAAAATGAAGTACTTTGGTGAAGCCAGTGATATTCATCAAGCCCGCAAAAGTTGATCCTAAACTAAAACATATTGATTGTCCTCTGTGCAGCTACACATTTTCTAAAGAATGTTGCTGCGACAAAATTTCAATAATCTCTAAGACGGCTGACAATCACTTCCTAGGTAAAGGAAAAATAAATCGTAAGGCTGATAGCTTGTGATTTATCGTCCTAGACTTTATTAGTACAGAATAAACAACCTTGGAACTAATTATCGATAATTCTTTAACTTTTTGGCATAAATCCAAAAGCATATTATATTCATTTCAATTTCTACCGCACGCAAGAGAAGTTAGGTCATGTTTGGTACATTAGAATTGGGTTCAAGAAAAATGAAATTGGAATTGAAATCATGCTTTCAATTGTTTGGTATGCATGAATCCAATTCTTTATGAATTTCAATTCTATCAAAATATCTAGAATTTAATTCCATCTCCATCATGATGGAATTACCACAATTCCATAGAATTGTCATAAGTGCTCCACATACACACTCCATCATGTTGGCTGAGTTTTTTATTTTTTTATAAGGGCATTTTAGTCTTTATTTATTTTAAATACATATATTTATTAATATTATATTCAGATTCCATCTTCATACCAAACATATATTTATAACTCAATTCTATTCTGATTTCAATTCCGATTTCAATTCCAATTTCGATTCTAATTTCATCAAAAACTCTTTCATTATATCAAACGAGGCTTTAGAGACAGAGAGATACCTTGGGGACTAGCCTTGGCAGCCTTTCGGTGGTCGAACCGGGCAGAAATAGGCGATTTGTTCATCCCTCCTCCAGGGGCTGATTTAGAAACTATGGTCTGGGGGCCACAATGCAAAATTACATAATAGTGGAGGGAAAAAATTAATTTTAACATTTTTTTACAAGTGAAACACTAAGTAAGTTTTGCAAAAAATTTGCCACATAAGGTGCTTACTGCTTAAACCCCAAATCCGTCCCTGGCCTCATCATCATCTTCTCCGCGTTAGAAATCCTCTCTTATTGAACTGCTAGAGCCATCTCCCATACTTTCAAATCGTCATCGTAATCATTCGAAGCGATGTAGTTGCCGAAGACTCAGTACATTTGCAGACATCAAAAGGATTACCCAGGGAGAACCAGCGTACTTCCACCCTTATCAAACACATTCGAGCTCCTGTTCAGATTTTTTTTTTTAATTTCCATCGTAGCATAAATCAGGACTCATTGGCTTTCAGTTTCTGGATAATTCTTTAGCTTTCCGTCAGAAATCCAAGAAATAAATGCTCCAAAGTTGACAGGTTTTTATTATTTTTTTTTTAAAAATAGATTTGTTTAAGCCAAGACAAGACTCGGGTGTCGTTGGAATTCGAGGGAGAAGAAGAACGAAGAACAAAGAAAATAAGAGCCAACACGACTCTTCAGATTTTTCACACCTAGATGTTAAAATACATAGGGTTGCCACATCATAGGGTAAAGCTCACACATTTGATGTCAAGTCAGCACTAAACAGGAGAATAAATGATATACTGATGAATGGTCAATTTTGCTTTTTTAAAAAATAATACAGAAAAAAAAATTAATTTTTTAAAATAATATAATTCTTTAAAAATTTTTAAAATTTTTCTGTCATCAATAAATTTATATAAATTATTAAATTATTCTTATTAAAAAATAAATAATTTATAATTTTTTTTATATTTATAATAATACATTAACAAATAAAGAATTTAACGTGTAAATTTATAATTTATTTTTACATTATTACGAATATAAAAAAATTATGAATATATAAAAAAAATTGTAAATTATTTATTTTTAATAAAAATAATTTAATAATTTATATAAATTTATTAATGATAGAAAATTTTTTAAAAATTATAGAGAGATTATGACATTTTAAGGGATTAATTATTATTTATATGTTTTAAAAATTTTTATTATCATTGTCTTAAAAAATATTGTCTCACTTGAAAATGTTCAAGGTCAGGACACTTTTTAAAATAAGTATAGGGCGGGGAATTTCTAAAATAATTGACCCGATTAGCCTAAACAAACCCCACATGATTTTTTTTTTTGGGCCAAAACCTAACGTAATTAAAATTTAAAATTTAAAATAGTTCGTCAACAATCATCAATAAATATTTAATTTTACATTGGATGAGGTAAAAAATATCGAAGAAGCTTGAATAAATCGTTTGCATCAATTCGTCGGGCGAACAGAAGAGAAAATCGTTTGCATAAACCGCATGATGTATTTTCTCTGGCCAACTCAGTCAAATGATTTCCCTCGATTGTCTTCCGTAGCATCATTTTCGACGTGCTCTTTTTGCTTCCTACAAACTCTCCAACATTCCTACCTTCCGAAGCGCTTTACGCGACGGATGGCATTGACTATTATGGAATTATCATTTCAATAACTCAGAGATTCAGTGCACCGCTAGAAATTTTGCAATCTGCTCAGCTTTGGGTCTGAAATTATATGAATTTCCATGATCGTTTGAGAACTGAGAACTGGGAAGGTACTTAATTCTGTCTCGGCCCATTTCTTTTTTTCTTTTTTTTCTTTTTCCTTTGATTGGATACTTGAACATGTCATCTTTTCTCCGTACTTAAACATTGGGTTAATATTCAGACTCAGATTGGCTGGACCTATTTTCTGTTATTCTCGCTAACAGATGAAGATTTGATAACAAAATTCGTAGATTGCAGGGAAAGGGTGGTCGAAAATGATTTTTTGGAGCATTGGATTTTTGTTTTTTTCCGTTGCGAGTGACTTCAAGGAAACTATGCGAGTTGTGTTCCTGGAAAGATGTCATTAACATTGAGATTGGTTATTTTGTTTTATGTATTGAGGTAGGATTGTTCACTTGGCAGCGATTTAAACATTAAGTCCTAGCAACTGGCGAGATGCGACGAATCCCAGACCTCCGGTCGCGTACAGCACTTTGATACTTGTTTTTGTTTGGGAATGTTTGGAAATTCCAAGGGAGATGGGACAACTGAGTTGGATGCCTTCTATCCCATCCGACCAGAATGTAAAGCTGACGTTCCGAAGACTCATTTTAAACCAAGGGTGCGTTTTTCTACTTTCTAATTTTTCTCTATCGTGGCTTGTCAATATTATTTGTTTGAAAAAGCATATTAATTATGGCTATGTGGAAGGTTTTCCCCAATGTGATAACGAACTGAACTGATGCATTGGTAAGATCCAACAGGGAGTCGTTCATTAAAACCTTGCAATATTTTCGGAGAAAAATTATGCTTATTTTTCATCATTACTATCACAGATATATACACGAGTGGGTTGATTTTTTTAATTTAATTTTTCAGCATTATCTCGTGATCAATCTTTGGTGCTCTCTATTTCCGCAGGCTGGCAAAACTCTAAGTGAAAGAAGATGGCATGCATCATTCACTCAAGATGGTCATTTGGATATTGCCAAAGTGCTTAGACGAATCCAACGGGGGGTAATCTTATAATGCTGTTCAGATTTAGACGACTGTGTCCTTATGGAATTGTATATTATGAATGCGTGAACATGCGTTGGATTTGAGTTTAGTCATGGTAGATTTGTTTGCAATTATCTCAACATGATATGAGATTATTTATGTAAGACAAAATTGGATGAAGTGATCTGAATCTGATTATTCTGTCTGTAGTAATGGCGCCCAATTGCTGCTCTTAAGCTAAACTAGAAGAGATAAGTCTCTTATATATGTTCTCGGCCTTCCTCACTCTCTTGTGTGCTGGGTGGCTGGGTTATTAATGTTGCAGTTAAGTCCCACTTTATTATCATTATTTTAAGGAAAAAAATATGATTTATCTCTTTTTCTTCCATTTTTCCTTCTGTAAGGAATCTGATACATGAACACATTTAATCTCTACTTTATTTACCTCTTCTCTGCAATTTAGATCTTAGTTTCAGGGTTGACAGTATAATTTGGTTCCATTAAACCTTGCCAGATTTAAAGTGATTAGTGATTTTATTATAGATATATATATATATATATATTGACGATGTCTTTGGAAATGCCCTTTCAGAACATTTCTCTGCATCAGAAAGGGATTTAGTGGACAAATGTACCATAATCAGTGCCATGCACTCATTAATTGTTGTCCTTTTGAAAAACTACAGTGGGTCCATGGAAATTGCCCGCTCAGCCAATCTTCACTCAACTGTTGAATTCATGATGTCTCTCTTTCCTCACTTACAGTGATGTTTCCATCACAATGGCTTGCATTTAAGTATATCTTGATATGGGCACTCCACTTAAACTTGAGTCTCTTTCTCATAGTTCACTGGTGAAAAGCAAGCAAGAGTTAGTTGATTGAAGGTTATTTTTCTTTTTCAAAATATGCAGGGGTTCTTATTGAACTAGCACCCATCCCTGCATATGTGATGACATTCTTATAGTTGCTATTCTGTATGTGTATATCTGTGTGGCTTTGCCACAAATATGTGAACGAGCCAGCAACTCCATGCTGACCCTTTCCTATGTTTGAAATTTGAATGCATATCAATGTAAATGTTTTCCACCTTTTTTATCTGTTATGATACTGTTCTCTATGATAGGGATACAATATCACTGTAGAATAGTTGTTGCGTGTTGATTTCTATAATAAGTCTGTTCTGTTAGTTAGGAGGACTATGACAACTTTTGTTAGTTAATGAGAAACAGAATAGAAATGTTAGTAAGAACTGAAAATAACGGGTTATTGTAAATTCCCAAAGTGTACTTGGTTAAGTGTTTTTTATTGAACCATTTCCCCTGTATCTTTCACACAATAATGTGATTTAAGATGACAATCCGATGTGTATTTTATTTTGCAACTGGACTGCTGGTGCTCTTTTTTCATGTTAAAAAATTTGTATTTTACTTTTTTTCATGTTTTATTCTTTCAAATATGTGCGCTCTTTAATTTATGTTCATTTCTATTTTTGTAAATTGTGCAGGGCATACATCCTTCAATTAAAGGGGTAGTGTGGGAGTTCTTGTTAGGTTGTTATGATCCTAACAGCACGTTTGAAGAACGGAATCAACTTAAGGAGCAAAGGAGGTATATCTTACAATAACAACATGGATTGTATAATGCTATCGTGCTTTGTTGTTTACCAAGCTTTTAAGAATGTTATTAATTAAGAGGACTTGATCAACAACTTCCACAAGTGTTCTCTTTGGCTCTCTTAATAGGGTTTGAAATTATCTGTTCCACTCTCCTCACTAGTTTCTCATGTGATCTTTTTTTATACATATTCAAATCATCTCAAATGATTTTCTATCATTTTCTCTTCAATAGGTGCTACACCCACTTTTTTTTTCACGTGTGCTTATTTTAAATTTTATCTTTACATGTACACCTACACATCTATCTCAACATTCTCATCTTTACTATTCTAACTTTATACTCTTGCTGTCCCGTTAAAACCCAACATTCACTACTCTTTAGCATAGCTGGTCTTATAGTAGTCAAATAAAACTTTCCTTTAAGTTTATTAGGTATCTTACGATCGCAAATAACTCCTTTAGCTTTTTTTTAATCAAAGTACCTACCTTGTATCTTATGTGCAATATTTCCATGAATTCCCCAATCATGTTGAATAGTAGCTCCCAAATATTTAAATTTTTTCACTTAAGGTATAATTTAATCTTCCAATTTCACTTTTAAATTTAAATTACTACTGATTGACTTTTTATTAAAATTACAATGCAAATATTCCATCTTACATGTACTTAGATGGAAACCTTTTGACTTCAATGTCCTCTTTCATATCTCAAGTTTACAGTTAATCTCTCTTTTCTTATCTCCGTAATAAGAATATACTATTTGCGAAAGGCATGCATTTAGGGATTTTTTCTTAAATATACTCAATTAAAACATCTAGGATTAGGTCAAACAAATAAGAACTCAAAGATGATCCTCGATGTAAGCCAATTCTTATAGGAAAATTTTTGTTTTACCACTAGACATTCTTATAGTAGTGGCTACCCCCTCGTACATATCTTGTTGAGCTCATAAATCTGATTAAATAAAGTAAAGAGAGTAACAATACTCCACGGATTCATATGGTCTTCTAAATTTAGCTATCCTATTTAGTACGCAATGAAGTTCTTCTTGTGCAGAATTTACTGCTGAGTTCTATTGAACTCCATTCTTTTGTCCCATCCCATGAACCTTAAAGGTTATCATGTCTTCAGTTTTTCTTCATTTAGCAAGTTAGCAACTTAAATTTCATATATGGCCATGTTTTCTTTTCCCCTCTAAAAGTTAGCTGGTCTTTCAAATTTGCCAGGTTTTGAATCCCAATTCTGCCGGTCCCACTCCCCCCCTTACCCTGCCCTTGGTTGGAAATACTAAATACAAATTAGTTTGTCTAAAATTATTATCCAGGCAACAGTTTAATACATGGAAAGATGAATGTCAAAGGATGGTTCCAGTTATTGGTACTGGAAAATTCATCACAACACCTCTCATCGGTGACGATGGCCAGCCAACAGATGATTCTTTGATAGGCATACCGCTTTCAGATAAGAAGGTTCTGCAGTGGGTGCAGACATTACACCAGATTGGTATGTATATACTGCTCCATATTCATTAAATGCTTTGTAGATATATCCATTCTGTTTGGGTTTAGTTTGTCCTACAACTTTTGCGGCATGGTCTTTGGCCTTCTTTAAACTGGTTGGTTAATGAATGTTCCCCATGAAGAGGAAAAGCACCCTAAATATTAATTTTAAATTCAAATATGAGGATTGCAGATGCATGGCAGCAAGCTTGTAACATTTGATATATGCCACCATATGATCACTTGTTAACACAATAGTGAGCATTGAGTGTAACAGACCAATTGCATATTTATGTAATATAATGAGATCAAGGATATTGAATGGCTTTTGCCTAAGTTCTTGAGGTGCTGACAGCCAGTCCATTAATATTCACGGTGCATTAGCATCAAAAGAATATGCTAGCTGCATGGGTTTATGCCGTTGGTTTTTGCTGCAGAAATGTTTGCCTCTTCTTTCAGTAACCATCCATGCTGTTAAATAATTATTTTCTGTAGGTCTGGATGTCGTAAGAACAGATCGAGCTCTTGTGTTCTATGAGAGTGAAACTAACCAGGCAAAACTATGGGATGTTCTGTCAATTTATACCTGGTTGGATGATGATATTGGCTATGTGCAAGGTGAATTACTAGTTTTTGTCCTTTGTCAAATTGAAGTATCATCAGTTTGAGACATTTCCAGGTATTATTTCTGTTGCAGGAATGAATGACATATGCTCACCTATGGTGATACTTCTTGAAGATGAAGCAGATTCCTTTTGGTGCTTTGAGCGTGCTATGCGAAGGCTGGTATGCCAGATATATTGTGATTATGCTATGCTATTTTTGCCTGAGAGTGTCACCTTTGGATGTTTGATGTTTAGGTGGTCAATATTACACTGAGAAAGTCGCCACAATCTATGGACCACAAAACAAACAAACAAACAAACAACAACAAGCCTTTATCCCACTAGGTGGGGTCGGCTACATGGATTGCAAGACGCCATTGTGCTCTATCATTTATTAAGCTTTTAGAAATATTATTAATTAAGAGATCACGTTCAACAACTTCCAAGAGTGTTCTCTTAGGCCTTCCTCTACCTCTCTTAATCGGACTCAAAGTTATATGTTCCACTCTTCTCACTGGTGCCTCCCTTGGTCTTCTTTGTACTGCCCAAACCATCTCAACCGATTTTCTACCATTTTTTCCTCAATAGGTGCCACCCTCACTTTTTCGCGTATGTGCTCATTTCGAATTTTATCTTTACGTGTATGTCCGCACATCCATCGTAACATTCTCATCTCTGCTACTCCAACTTTATGCTCTTGCTGTCCCGTTAGAGCCCAGCATTCACTACTATATAACATTGCCGGTCTGATAGCAGTACGATAAAACTTTCCTTTAAGTTTATTATTAATAATAAGTATTTGAGTCAGTTGTTCACAAAAAAAAAAAAAAAAAAGGTATTTGAGTCAATTAACGATTTAGAACTTAAAGATTACTCACCTTTAAATTTGGTCCTCTAGAGAAAAGCCTCTCAATTTAGTTCATGGAACAGTCTGAAACTTCTTTGTAACTAGGGTTAAAATCACAACTTGTCAACAAAGTGTCCCAAAGATAAAATTGGGAGAAGGAGAATGGGGTTTCTCTAAATTGGTTTCAGTTTCTTTCTAGCTATCGGTTATTGCACTTGTTTTCATTTGTACAAGGACTAAATGTTTGTCCCTGGATAATGAGTTTTTGTGATGAGTTCGTATTCATGCTGTTTTTGCATTACAGAGAGAGAATTTCAGGACTAGTGCAAGTTCGATGGGGGTGCAATCTCAGTTGAGTACGCTCTCCCAGATTATTAAAATTGTTGATCCCAAGCTTCACCAACATCTTGGTATGGGAAATATGTATGGGCAGCTTCTAATGTGTCATGATTAATATTTTCTGGTTTCAAAATTATCATTTTGACTAGAATCAAAGTCAAATGTTCCAAAAGTGTAAACATGCTTTTGAGGTAGTCGATGTTGATGGGAAATTCTTTTTGACAATCACATTTTGAGGTTCCTTGATAACAGAAAACCATGCACCATCTTGCAAATGTGTGTTCTAATGGCTATAGCAGTTAGGGTCCTCACTATAAAGGAGTGGTTGCTTGTTTATCCCTCCCATCCTTAAATCTATCTAAGTTCATAGAGAAACATTACGTCTGTATGAACTCCTCAAAAATAGCTCATAAACTTGTATATATTTGTTTTGCAGATGATTTAGATGCTGGGGAGTATCTCTTTGCATTTCGCATGCTGATGGTTCTTTTCCGCAGAGAATTTTCATTTGCAGATGCTCTTTATCTTTGGGAGGTAAGGAGGAATCGATATCCCCAGCCTATATGGGCTCCTTGGGAAAATTGAGTAGCTATGCTTTTTTGGTTCCTTGATTATTTTTTAATGAAAATGATAGCTTGGAGTCTGTACAAGCTACAAATTAAGAAGCTCATTTTAAGACATAATATAGATTGTTTACAGTTGATGTGGGCCATGGAATACAACCCAAATATATTTTCATTATATGAAAAGCCAGAGATTGCCCAAACAAGTGAAAACGCACCTGTAGTAAGTGGCAAGTTGTTGAAGCAATATGGCAAATTTCAGAGGAAGAACTTGAGGACGGGCAATACTGAGCAGCAAAGTGCACTAGCTGTTTTTCTTGTTGCAAGTGTTCTTGAAGTGAAGAATAGGCAGATTTTAAAGGAGGCTAAGGGTGTAGATGATGTTGTTAAGGTCTCTCTTTCCACCCCCCGCATGGATGCATGTATTTATAGTTTGAAATATGCATTAGTCATTTACTCTTGTTTCTGCATGAATCTTACATTAACCATTCTGTCCAGATCTTGGGTGACATAACATCAAATCTTGACGCTAAAAAAGCATGTACTGAGGCTTTGAAAATTCAGAAAAAGTACCTGAGCAAGGTAAGTTCCATTATTGTCTTTCGTGGTTTTAGATGCATGCTTTCTTGTTTGTTTTTAGGAGAAGCAGGGTAGGATTTAAGTAACTGAAATGATTTGATGGATCATATGTTACCTTCCGATCTTAAAATAAACCTTCCTTTGTCTTTTGTTTTTTTGTTCGTGGGGAGAGGTGGGTGTCTAAAACTATGCTAGTAGCTAGATAGAGTTGGAAGATTAGAAGATTCAGATCAAAGGCAATGAAACTAGTAATCTATAATTCGAAACATGTGTTACTCGTTTACTGCCCTACTTTCTATATTCTCAGTCTCAATGACATTCTTTATGTGTCCATTTCAGAGAAGAGATATGAGATTTTGTAACAATTGTTTGTTCATGCAGACCAGAAGGCATGAGAGGAGATTTCTGGTGGCAGCAGTGGATACTGAATCTCTGTCTCTCTCTCTCTCTCTCTCTCTAATTTTATATTTTCTTTGGTGTGTGAAATTCTTCAGGTTTTTGGCTGTTAGGCTAATGTTTTTCTCTCCGTAAAGCTAGCAGCCCCTTACCCCTATTCTTTTGTTATTTGACGCCTTTTTTGGGGGACGCCAATCATGACTTGAGTGCCAGATGAACTTGCAGTAGGGAATTGGAACTTTTGTATTGTACAATAGGGCATTATTTTGTTGTCACCATAAAAAGATTATTTGCTTCCCCATTCTTTAGACAGCTAGTGTAGTGTAAAATGTCAAGAAATGAGTTGCATTATTAATGGCTCGTGAATACTGGGGATTGCTTGGAATTTCTTTATTATTTATAATTATAAATATATAGATATTTTTATGTTTTGTAGTTGTTCTTTCTAAAAGACATATTTTACTACCAAACTTAGTTGTTTTATTCATTCGTTCTACCAAGAAATGCTTTAAAAATGAACTCATGAGCGTGTCCCTGGTCCCCACTAATTGTCTGTATCATACAGCTTTCTTAGCTATTCATATATTTTTTCCATTCAAATTATAAAACAATTTTTAAAATAAAATATTTTAAAATATAAAGCATTCTTTGATTTTCATTGTGTAGTTAATGATTATGTAAAAATGTCCTTCATGAGAATACTATTCTCACCCTTTATACGCTTCGGTTATTATCAGAGGCACTAAGCCAGTTACAAAAAGCTTCACTTCAGAATGGTTACTGAATATATAAAATGTTTTTTTTTTTTGTGTCAAAATTGAGTGTATAAAATGTTACTTGTACTACTTTCAACTGTTAGCGTGGTCAAAGAGTGTACAGATAAAATAACAATTTTAGCCATAATCTTCTTCCTTCCATTGTGTTGACTTTTGCTTGAGTAGGGTGAGCATCTATTGGTTTAGTGTTAAAATGTATAAAATACTTGATATTAAATTTAAATGTTAATGATTCAATTTTGAATTTTATATTTGGTTGGAAGTATGTTACTATCATTTTATCCATTGTATTTTTGATTAAAAAAACTAACGAAGACATTTGTAAGCATAAAAATGGGATTAGACCAGACCTCTTGCCTCCTATGAACTTTTGCCTGTGTTTTCAACTGATAAAGGACACACCACCACTATATAATGGGCTATAAACAACTTGCATTGGTATAGAATATAAAAAAACTCGATCGACTGAGTTAGAAATACTATATCAATTATGCACCTTCTAAGGATTTCAGACATATAAATTGTTTACACACACACACACTCTCTCGTTTTTGAAGTATAAAAAAAAAATAAAGTAATAACCTTTAGAGTAAAAACTCTAACCATCATTCTGTATTATCTTAATTATACAGACTCCCCTTAATTTTAAAAACATACATTTAATCCAATTAATAACTTTGGTAAGGAATATTCTAAAAAGATGCTAGAAACTTATTTTTAAATTAAAATTTATATCACAAAAACTTTTTATTTAATTTACCCCTCACCCTAGTCAATCCTAAATTATATTATGTTCATAGTTACATAATTTAATTGTAAAAAACATGTTTATAAATTTTAATTTAAATTATTTATATAATATCTTGAATTTATATTGTTTTATGTTATGCGACGGACAAGAATATATTTTTTTGCAATTTTAAAAAAATAAATAAATACGTTCAATAAATTTGATGAAAACTAAAATAATAAAATTTTATAATATGATACAAATTAATAAATTTGATAAGATAATAAAAATTTGAAAATGAATTTATTATATCTTTTAGCTGTATACGAAGAATTTTTTTTTTTGCAGATATAGTTTTTTAGCAAAATTCTTAGATTAAAGAGAGACATTTGGGTAAAATTAAAAGTTCAAAAGTAAGACTTAATGGTCAACTAACAATTTGATGGATGAAATGGAATCTCAAATATACAAGGGAGGTTTTATACAACATATGTCTTAATTTAAGGGAGGTTCATATGCATTTTCAAAATAAAAGGGAAGTTTGTGTATTAAATTATAATATAAGGTTGGTCAGTGTATTTTATTCTAATTTTCATATATAATTTATAAGTTACTAATATGGTATTTGTGTGTATGTGTATATGATAATTTTATGAATTTGATCTTTCAATTTTAAAATTTGAAGATCGAATTGAATCAATCAACTAAAATTTTTAAAATACCAAAAATTAAATCAAATAGATCAAACTCAATTTAATTCAGATCGGTTTTGCTCTCTCACCCCTAAGAGAGAGGGGGTAAATGGAAGCCTTCTACAATTATAACTTTTTAGTACTGTTTTCAGTTTTTTAAAAAATTTAAAATGCACAGTAATTTTATATTTGTTTTAATTTGTTTTAAATGAGGTGCCATGTTAAACAAGGAAAACATGGAAAAAATGTGTAAATTGTAACTTTAAGGGCCATTAATTAACATATTAAGGATGTAAATTAATTAAAAGTGACTTGTAATTTTTTTGGAATAGCATAAAGAATAAACCCCATTGATGGTCAAGATTTCACCTTTGAGATAATGAGGAAAGAGCAAATGATAATTGTCTTCCAAATAAATTGTAATATACATCAAGATTAAGATTTGAATCACAATTGCATAGGTATTTACTTAAGTGACAAAAACTTTTACTATTTGCTTAAGTTGAGTTGGTTAAAGTGACTTATAATTATTTGCAGAGGAGGTTAATCAACATTTAACTGAAATGCAAGAGCATTTAGCCAATAGGATTGGGTTTGAGCCTTTGAAGGAAAAGACTACTGTTGCTCACAATGTATGAACAATGTTGGAATTTTTGTTGAAAAAGTGTCTACTCATACATCTAATATTTCATGGTACTTTAAACAAGATTATTTTTAGGTTAAGGAATGTTTTTAGTCTTCTAATTTTATATAAATTTTTAATTTAATCTTTTAATTTTATAAAGTATACATTTAATTTTATAAAATATATTTTTAGTCTTTTAATTTTAACATTGCTAGTTTCAAATAATCATTTTTGTATCAATTATTATTATTTTTAAAAAATTAAACGTAATAAGTTAATATTTGATCATATTTTGTTAATATTAAAAATTTAATTTAAAATTTTTTTTGTGATAAAACTATGATGCTATGATTAAAAGATTGAAAATATACTTTATAAAATTAAAAAATTAAAATAAAATTTTATATAAATTTAAGGAATTGAAAAATATACTTTAATCTTATGTTTAATACTAACATAACACGTGTCTAGTCTTGTGAAAAATGCAAGAGTATTTAAATATTTTTCCTTAGCAAATTCATGAACGACATGCTAATGCTATCATTCTTCATTTTCCTTTGTTCTTAAATATAAAATTCATTTGTTATTTTTAAAAATTGAAGGGAATGAATGCAATCCCATTTAAAGTTATGTCACTGGCCCGGTAGCCGGCAGTGACATCCTGGGACAGTGGTATCGGGAAGTTAGATTATAGTGGTAGAACAGGCAAATAAAAAAAAAAAAAAAAAAACGAATGTTCGATGGGTCCGGGAAATCCCCCTGGGTCCCACAATGCAGATTTTAAACAGAGCTTATCGTTGCTATTTCTTTTTTTTATAAAATATTTTTAATTAAATTTCACATTAATAAAATAATATTTATTTTTAAATTAATTTTATTTTTATTAAATATTTTATAATAAATATAAAGTCATTATCAGTAAAGATATTTATAAAAAAATAATTATTACATTTTAAAAAATTAAAAATAATTTAATCTTTAAATGTATAACTTCTCAAAAAAATTTTACATTTTTAAATGAAAGAATATAAATTATTTTTATTAATATTGTCAATATCAATATAAAAAATTTAAAAAATAAAAATATATATAATTTTAAATATTTTTTATATAATAAATTTAAAAATAATGTTATGTTATTTTTTGGTAAAAAAAAATTTTAAAAATATTTTTTTTATCTGTACTTAAAAAATCACACATTAATTTATGGATGAGATTAAATGATTTTCGGGACTTATAATTCAACAGGTAGTATGTGATTACTACTCATTGATAATACCAAAATCAATTGCTTGTTTTTATCAGCGTTCTCGTGCTCGGCAACGTGAGACTGCGTCCAGCGGCTGCGTGTCGGCTTTAAGGAGCCCCTGTCGGCTCGGCAGCTTCCTTTCAGAGTTAAGGAGCCAACACCTACATTAAAGCTCGCAGAGTCATAGCCCCAGAGGGGTCAATGTCGCACTCATGAGTAGTGCAGGCTTTTGATTTTTGCAATGTCTCCGAGGGTTTTCACTGCTTCTGCTAGCTGGCCCTGCTCCGACGCTTTGTTAGTTATTCTGCCTCTGCGCCATCAGAGTCCTCTGTCCTCTGGTCCCACAATCATATCGCACTTGTACCATAGCCCCCAACATACTGTTCTCCTCTCCCCACACCTTTCTTTCCCGTCACTTTCCACTTTTCTGCATCAATTTCATTCATAACTACCAATTACTTCATCGTCTTGCATTCTGTTTTGTACTTACTTGTCATTCATTAGGCGCCTAATCTGCAATTATCCTACTATGCTGTCTCTTCATCTCCCCTTATATGCTATCCATCTTCTTTCATTATTTCATTCTCGCCGACCTGCTTCCACACTTTTTTTGCTAAACATCGCTGCTCTGCTTCTCGGCGTTCTTTTTTTGTTTTTTTCCCTCCCTCCTCCTCCTCTTCTTCAGACTTCAATGGGTCTGCGTCATCTAGTTCCTACTCTTGCTCTTGTCATCTTGTGTCCCTCGTGGTTTCTCTCCTACCAGCAACCTGCCTGGACGCGGCGGAGCAGGAACGGTTTATCAGGTGCTGGACTCAATCAACTCGGACATCCCCCTGGCGTTCTCTCTTCCCTG